GAAGGAAAAGAATCCACTTTTTGCCCAGATCTTCATCTTGAAATTAAGACAGGAACTGAAGAGGAGACAGGAGAAAGAAATGTTGACACAGCAATATAATTGGCTGTACATGAATTAGGGAAGAAGGAGGCCAACAATGAACTAAATGAAGTTTTGAAAACTCAACTCAATCTACGTGAAAATTTCTAGAGGTGCTAGTTTCAGAAGGTAGTTGGTAGAAAACAAAAACTATGGTGGGAGAAACAGTTGTTGGTGATTCTACCGCCTCACCTCTCAGAACTTATTATCAGGCCACATGAGAAACTTAAGGCTGGGACAACCCATGGATAGAAGAGCCTGGCAGGCTACAGTCCACGAGGTCATGAAAGAGTTGGACAGGACTTAACTAAACAACAACAGCAGCAATCCAAGTGAAGTAGCTGCGCCCCACCACGGGCCCACAATACAGGTGAGCTCAGCAGGCTTTCACAAAGGAATCACAGCTAAAATTCAATGTGCATTCTTCTGGCATATGGGCTCATCAGCGATCCAAATGGGGTAGATTCAAGGACTGGAGATTTTCATTATGATCATCAGGGACATCTTCAACTTCATTTATCATGCAATAAATTTTGATTGGGCACAGCATTAAAAATTGTTTAGAAGTTGAGTATATAGAGAATATATGATGTTGAAGCTGAAACTCCAATACTTTGGCCACCTGATGTGAAGAGCTGACTCATTTGAAAAGACCCTGATGCTGGGAAAGATTGAGGACAGGAGAAGATGGGGACGACAGAGGATGAGATGGTTGGATGGCATCACCAACTCCATGGACATGAGTTTGGGTAAACTCTGGGAGTTGGTGATGGACAAGGAGGCCTGGCGTGCTGCAGTTCATGGGGTCACAGAGTCAGACACTACTGAGTGACTGAAGTGAACTGATATAGAGACCAAAAAAAAATAGGCCATACTGTCATGGAGTTTACATTTTGAAGAAAAGGAAAACAGAGTAAACATGGTTTCAGGCCTTGTAGATACAATAAAGAATAGATTAAAGGGAAGAGAATAAGAGTGATTGGCATGGCAGTGGGTAGCACTGAGAAGAATTTCTGGAGAGGTGGTTTGAGTGGCGACCTGCCTAAATTGGGGCATGAGTCAGGGGAGGGGGTCATAAGCAGTGGGGGAAGCAGTGCAAGGAGCCTGAGACAGTACTATTTTCTGATGTGTACAGCAATATGGTTGGCATGGTTTGAGTAGGACAAGCAAGAGTGGGAATGGTAAAAAGTGAGGTGAGAGAAGCAGGTGAGGGCCAGACCACTGAAGCTTTGATTGAAGGGGTGGGATATCAGGATTTTATTTTTCATGCAGTGTAAAACACTGGAAGACTCTGAACACAGGAACAATATGTTCTTACTTTCTGAGTTGAGATTATGAGTCAAGGGTTAAAATGGGAGCAACATATAGGAGATTATTAGTTGATCTTGGATGGTAAGCTACAGAAGTGGGGAGAAATAATCAAATATACTTTCATGGTAAAGTCAACAAGACTTGTTATGAATAGATGTAATACATAAGAAAAACAGGAATCTAAGATGATTCCCAGGCTTGCGGTCTGGGAAACAAAGTGAATAATGGTGTCCTTCAGCTGTATATAGATTTTCTTTTTCTGTTATTGTCTTGTTGAAAAATTAAACTATGCTAATATGTCCACTCTGAAAAATAGTTTGACAAGTTATTTTTTTAAAACAGAACACTATTTGTCCAAGAAATCTCTTTTCTGGATTTTTATCCCAGAGAACTGAAAAGTTATGTCCAAACAAAAAACTATACACAAACAAGGTATGCTATTCTCCACAACTGCTTCAGAACTAAACTTTGAAAATGTTCTTTTTCACAAAAGCCCTTTTGCAATGAATTTGGTGAATTTATTTATTATAATAACCAAAAACTAGAAATTATCAAAATGCCCTTCAGTGGATGAATGATCAAGCAGCAGTATATCCAAACCATGAAATACTGCTCAGGAATAAGAAGGAACAAACTATTAATACATTCAACCACGTAGATGGATTTCGAGAGACTTATGCTGAGTGGAAAAGACCAATTTCAGAAAACCACATTTTGCATGATTCCACTTATGTAACATTTTCAAAATCACAAAATTATATAGATAAAGAACAGATCAGTAGTTGCCAGGGTTAGGGAGGCTTGGGGGAAGGGGTGAGTGTGACATGAAGGAGATCTTTGAGGTAACAGAAAAATTCTGTGTTTTGATGTCAGTAGTGGTTATAGGAATCCACAAATGTGATAATACAACACAGAGCTATCCACACACTGTGTCACAGCCAATGTTGATGTTGTACTAGAGCCCTATAAGATATAACTGTTGTGGGAAACTAAGGGAAGAGCACAAAAGTCCTCACTATTCTTTCTTTCTTTTTTTTCTTTTTTGGAGTTAAATTTCTTTTTCTTTTTTTTTTCCCATTTATTTTTATAAGTTGGAGGCTAATTACTTTACAATGTTGTGGTGGTTTTTGCATACATTGACATGAATCAGCCATGGGTTTACATGTATTCCCCATCCCGATCCCCCCTCCCACCTCCCTCTCTATCCCATCCCTCTGGGTCTTCCCAGTGCACCAGCCCCGAGCACTTGTCTCATGCATCCAACCTGGGCTGGTGATCTGTTTCACCCTAGATAATATACATGTTTCAATGCTGTTCTCTTGAAACATCCCACCCTCGCCTTCTCCCAGAGTCCACAAGTCTGTTCTATACATCTGAGTCTCTTTTTCTGTTTTGCATATAGGGTTATCGTTACCATCTTTCTAAATTCCATATATATGTGTTAGTATACTGTAATGGTCTTTATCTTTCTGGCTTACTTCACTCTGTATAATGGGCTCCAGTTTCATCCATCTCATTAGAACTGATTCAAATGAATTCTTTTTAATGGCTGAGTAATATTCCATTGTGTATATGTACCACAGCTTCCTTATCCATTCGTCTGCTGATGGGCATCTAGGTTGCTTCCATGTCCTGGCTATGATAAACAGTGCTGCGATGAACATTGGGGTGCATGTGTCTCTTTCAGATCTGGTTTCCTCGGTGTGTATGCCCAGAATGGGTAGGGAGGTGGGAAGGAGGCTCTAACAGAAACAAACACAACATTGTAAAGAAATTTAACTCCAACAACAAAAGAAAACTGGAGTTAAATTTCTTTACAATGTTGTGTTTGTTTCTGTGATACAAAAAGAGCCAGCTGTATGTATACACACATCCCCTCCCTATTGAGCCTCCTTCCCACCTCCCGACCCCCACATCCCATTCCTCTAGGTTATCACAGAGCACCAAACCGAGCTCCCTGATCTCTGCAGCAGGTTCCCACCATCTACCTATGTAACACACACAGTGTATAAATGTCACTCCTGCTCTCCCAATTTGTCTTATCCTCCCCTTCCACTAGGCTATCTTTGCAAATTTCAGTGAATCTATCATTACTTCAAAATGAATTCTTTTTCTACTTAACCATGCTCAAGTATAAGGCAAAATGCATTATATAAATATTAAAAAGTAGCATAATAATAAATACTACATCTGACAAAATGTTGTCTCCTGAATTTATAAAGCACCTCTTCTGCCAATACGTCTTATCACTTTCGGTATGTAGGCAGCAGTTCAGTTAAGAGATCATCAAGATCTCTTGTGAGAACATTTTCCTCCTAAAAGCCTGTGGATCAAACATCCCTTGGAACTGACACTCTACCTCTCGTACCTTTAAGCAGCAAAGAGAACCTGTGTGTTCTTGTTTCTGTACCCAATTAAAAGAGTATGGAAAAAAAACACTGTTAACATCAGTGTCCAGTAACTTGCAGACATTCTGAACTCTGCAAATTACCTTGTTTAGACCCAATATACTGACCTTTCACAAATCAACTGACATTCCTAGACTCTAACATTTTTCCCATTCAGTTCAGTTCAGTTCAGTCGCTCAATTGTGTCTGACTCTTTGCAACCCCATGAACCGCAGCTCGCCAGGCCTCCCTGTTCATCACCCATTAATGTCAAAATATAAAATTTTATAACACGGAATCTCAAAAAGGATGGCTTAGACCAAAAACAATTAACATGACCTAGAGGCTACATAGTAACACTAATCATAACTTCAGTCTTGAGGTTACTCCAGGTCTCAGAACTAGGCTCAGATAAATCATCCAAGTCAATGAGATACATGGTGTATATGGTGGTGAAGTCCCCCTCAAAATCTCCTTTTTCAACAGCTTCTTTTGTATATATTTCCTTAACATTCTGATATCCTGTATTGTCCAATCTCAGTCTGATGGTGGCGATAGAATACCTGGTCCTTCACTCCTGTAGAGAAGCATCCTACTCCCAAGAACATCATCAAGTCATTTAGTACTCAGGTCTGCATGCCTCATCCTAGACACATTCATCATTGCTGAATGCACTGACAATTACTAATCCTTTCATTCTCTCATATTGGCATATATTCCACCTAGAATTCTGTAATGAAGACTAGATTTATAAACACTTTTATTAGTCTAAACTGTACAAACCTACATAAGACTATTAACTAAAACATTTTCTAAATAAGCTATCTCACATCACATCCTGTCTATTTTTCAGAATTTAAAGCACTGCCAACAAAACCTATGGAATATGCCAGACACTGTCTTTCTTGATGTTGTTCTTCCTTTAGAAATAGCTATGCTGGGTACAATGCTATAAACAGAATTAAATCAAAGAGATACCATTCTGACTTTTTTATCACTCCATTCATACTATTTTTCAGGTGCCAATACATCCTAAAAGGTAAAATATATATCAGTTTGCATTTCTCTTTTCTAAGGCTGAATAAAAATTAAAGCAAGGTAAATGAAATGGATTGAATATCCTTCTGAAGACAAAGTAATTTCATTTTACTTCTATCCAAGATTGGAGCTGGAGAGCTGCCAACAATAATACTTTTTTTAAAAAAAAACAGAAAAGATACTTACAGCCAACCATCATCATGGCCACTGAAAACATCTTCTCCACATCCGTGGTAGGAGCTATGTTCCCAAATCCTATGGTTGTAAGGCTTGTCATGGTAAAGTAGAGAGAGGATACATACAGGGAATCCTTGCTGGGTCCTCCTTCCCACATCCCTGCACTGGTGTTGTACCGATATGGAGTCCCAATGCTCAAGGCCAACTGGTAGAGCCAACTGTCTATTTGGATGGTGTTCGTGACTTCATCGATGACCTCGTAGTCCCCGATGCTGTACCATATGCAGGCCAGCCAGTGAGCAACTAGTCCAAACACACAAACCAGGAGCACAAGGACGGCAGCTCCATACTCCAGGTAGTGGTCCAGTTTCCTGGCAACACGGCCCAGTCTCAAGAGACGCACCACTTTTAAAGAACTGAAGAGACTGCTGATTCCCTGAATCAAAGAAAAGAAATGATACAACACTTTCAGAAAAGCAAAGGCTGGTGAAAACAAAACAATGGCTCACCTTAATGAACTCAAGCACAATTTATATACTAAGAACTTACACATACATACTACAGCTCTGACTTTAAGCCAGTGAAAAAGTTTAAATGATAAAGTTTTTACATGCAGATTCCTTCCCACCAGGAAATAAGATATTTGTGAATTATTAGATGTACAAAAAAGTTTCATTAGGTAAGACCCAGTTTATTTTCATAAGGGGAGTATAAATAGCACAGAGAAAAACCAAAGAAGAAAATAGCTCAGATGCAATACACAGAGTATAGAAATAGGGTGACAAATTCAGACCTTTCATTTCTTCTCCTTGTAAAATGTTTCCTCTACTCTAAAAGATTTTATTTTATTTCTTACTTTATAAATGCTATGAACAGCAAAACTTCTGAAGAATGGAATCCTAGTTTTACTGTCAAGCAAACAGGAAATATTTCTGCGTATATTAGGAGAATGAGCAAATGTCACTGCTGCTTCCACCACCTCCTGCCAGTTATGAAAATCACTAAATTTGTAGAGCTGTGAAAAAGTGAAGAGTTGAACCTAGAATGGGATATCTATGAAATCCTATCATCCTCTAGCAATAGTCATAGAAAAGAATACTATAAGGGAATAGCAGCAAGAAGATTCATATTTTGTTGAGAAGCTCAAAATACCAAATAGAGAATTATCCAAATGGAAACACAGCATAGACTTTTTTCAACACACCACAGACTTTATTCAGTCCATGAAGTTCCCAAAGTTACTTTTTTTGCAAAGCATGCAATAAGCCACTCAGAGAGGTTAATGTCATTCCTGGTGCAGAAGAGGAAGACAAAACAGTGGCCCAAGACCCTCTCATCTGATCATCACTTCAATTCTCACAGAGTCCATGACTTCCTTACTGCTAATTCTGTCTCCCAGAGAGGAGACAAGGAAACTAACATAACCTGAAAGTGAAGTAAAAGCGTCAGCTGTTGAGTTGTGTCCAACTCTTTGTGACTCCATGGACTGTAGCCCACCAGGCTCCTCTGTCCCTGGAATTCTCCAGGCAAGAACACTGGAATGGGTAGCCATTCCCTTCTCCAGAGGATCTTCCCAACCCAGGGATCAAACCCAGGTCTTCTAAATTGCAGGTAGATTCTTTACCTAATCTGAGCTTAATTCTGATCAACATAGAAGAACTTGGTAAAATAGAACAGAGGCAATATTAATGAGACTCTAATTATGGCACTGTATAGTTACAGTGAAAAAGGTTAAGAATGCATTTTATTATACTCTATATGATGGTATATGTTTGAAATTTTGCAAAAGAAAAATGTGAAATAGAATGAAAATAAAGAGAAGTACAAACAGGAGACCTAGTGGAAGCAAAAGAGGAACAGGAGCATCCTGTCTCAGTTTTCTGTCTCAAGCTCAATATCCTTAGGCCTGACTCTATTTAGATTCTTATTCTCAAAGGCTGTGGCATATACACAGTCTTAAATCAATTCTTATTTCACTTGAACACTTGGGGGAGGGGAGATATTGAACTTCAAACAGTTCGAAAGGATAGCATCAATAAAATTCAGATGATGAATGGCATCATTCAGTGATATGAGATATTGAGAGGTAAGAAGATTCAAGAGAGTCTGGAAGCTCTCAAAACAAAGGAACTATGTAATCACGAACAAGAAGAACAAAAGAAGTATTTATCAAGCATTTCTATATGTCAGGCTATGAGTTGGGCCCTGGGGACATTAAGACAAATATGCCTTGCTTCTGCTCTAAAGAAACCTATAGTCAAAATGCATGAACTCAAACAGGGTTAAATTAAAAAATAAATACAGTGCTTTAGATGTTTTCTTCCACTTGGCTCCAATTTTTTAAAGAACCATGGTACTTCTATTTAAATACTACAGAGAAAATTTATTTCTACCATAATTTTTTTTCTAAAAACAAAGGAAGAAGACACAGAAACTTTATCCCCAAATCAAACTAAAAAATAGTCACAACCTTCAGCTAGACTGTTAAGAATCAGGACCTACTAGAATTAGGGCCAAATGAGGGAAGAACACACTCTCTTGACCTCTGATGTGGGCAGATCTCTACAAGAGAAGGTGATCCACCCTGAGGACCACCTGCTCTAGACTCCAAACCATCAAAAGGCACTATTTTCTGTAAACATGTTCAATATCATTTCAATATTACAAAATACTTGGTAAGAATTGTAAAGGGTTCTGTGATACCACTTCCTCCTAGATCTTAGTCAGCTCCCCACTAACATCTCTTGCAAAATCATTTTCTGAGGCTAGCCTTATCCCTGCTTCTATTATGCATTAGGATTCTCAACACAATTACCCTCAACCTCTCCTGGTTGATTTACTGCCTATCCATGTTTCAACTGACTTCAATACATGAAGGATTCATAGCACAAAACTTAGCACAAAACTCTTTCCCTAAGTTCCCGATACAGAAGCCAAATGCCTGCTGCACATTTCCATTTAGGTATTCCATAGGTGTTCAACAGGGAAATGTCCCAAAGGGAATCTCTCTGTTCCTGAATCAGTTCTTCATCTGCTTCTCTTGTGAACAACATCACTATGAACCCCACCCCCTCTCCTGCCACACTCAGACAGTTATCAAGTTTTGAGAATCTCAGCATTCAAACTTCTCAAAATAAATCTCAATAAATCTCTCAAAAAATGTCCCTTCTTTCCCATTCCCAAGGTCATGTCTTGGTTATGGCTTCATGGTGTTTCTCCCTGTGTGACAGAAAAAGGCTCTCCATCAGTCACCCCAACTCCATTCGCACTGCTTTTACTTATCTGATAACCCTGGAGAGGCTAGCCTGGTATTGTTTTATATTTTATTTTGTTTATTTATATTTTATTTTGTTTAATTTTATTTTATTTATAAAATATTTTCTATTTTATTTTATATTTCATATATATATACATATATATGTATGTATGTGTGTATATATTTATATATATACATATATATGTATGTATGTGTGTGTATATATATTTATATATATACATATATACGTATGTATGTGTGTGTGTATATATATATATAAAAACATGTCCCTCTCTGACCTAAAATCTTTGGTGTTAGCTCACTGCATAAAGGATTAAGAGTTCACTCCTTCTCTGACATGAAAAGTTCTTCAGGACCTTGCATCTGTCTATCTGGTCAGCACCTCCGCCAGCAAGCCCTCCCTATGCTATCTCGGCTCACGCCATGCTCCGCTATGTAGAGCTCCCAGAGTGCCCGTGCTCTTCATGCCACACTATAAATTGTTCCCTCTGCTTAAAGCACCCTTCCCTCCCACTGTCTTGGTAGCCAGGGCCTTACTTAGAGTTTATGACAAAGACTCTCTCCTCCATATGCATCTTCAGCATCAGTCCTTCCAATGAATATTCAGGACTGATTTCCTTTAGGATTGACTGGTTTGATCTCCTTGCAGTCCAAGGAATTCTCAAGAATCTTCTCTAACACCACAGTTCAAAAGCATCAGTTCTTAGGTACTCAGGCTTCATTATGGTCCAACTCTTACATCTGTACATGCCAACAGGAAAAACCATAGCTTTGACTGTAAGGACCTTGGTCAGCAAAGTAATGTCTCTGCTTTTTAATATACTGTCTAGGTTTTTCATAGCTTTTCTTCCAAGGAGCAAGCATCTTTTAATTTCATGGCTGTAGTCACTGTCCACAGTGATTTTGGAGCCCAAGAAAATAAAGTCTTTTAGTGTTTCCATTGTTTCCCCATCTATATTGCATGAAGTGATGGGACCAGATGCCATGATCTTTTTTGAATGTTGAGTTTTAAGCCAGCTTTTTCATTCTCCTCTTTCACTTTCAAGAGGCTCTTTAGTTCCTTTTCACTTTCTGCCCTAAGAGTGGTGTCATCTGCATATCTGAGGTTACTGATATTTCTCCTGGAAATCTTGATCCCAGCTTGTGATTCAGTCAGCCTAACATTTCACATGATGTATTCTGCATATAAGTAAAATAAGCAGGGAGACAATCTACAGCCTTGAAACATTTCCTTTCCCAATTTTGAACCAGTCTGTTGTTCCATGTCTGGTTCTAAGTTTTGCTTTTTGACCTGCATACAGGTTTCTCAGGAGGCAGGTAAGGTGATCAGTTTACACAGTTTATTCCCATTTTTAAGAATATTCCACAGTTTGCCATGATCCACACAGTCAAAGCCTTTAGCATAGTCAATGAGGCAGAAGTAGATGTTTTTCTGGAATCTCTTGCTTTTTCTATGATCCAATGGATTTTGGCAATTTGGTCTCTGGTTCCTCTGCCTTTTTTTAATTAAACCCAGCTTGTACATCTGGAAGTTGTTGATTCATGTACTGTTGAAGCCTAGCTTGGAGGATTTTGAGCATGACCTTGCTAGCATGTGAAATGAGTGCAATTGTGCATTAGTTTGAATACTCTTTTGCATGGCCTTTCTTTGGTTTTGGACTGAAAACTGACCTTTTCCAGTCCTGTGGCCACTGCTGAATTTTCCAAATTTGTTAACATATTGTATTCCAAGGCTTGACTTACAGTAATATATTAAGCAATCAATATACTCAGTAATGTATGAAAAACTTTTTTACAATACAAGTATTTGTGAGTGTAATGAATTGAACGTGTCATGGGGCAGGGAGACGGCATAGTTAACAATCCTATATGATAGGTATCACTACTAAAACATAGCCTAGAAAAATGAAGTACAATAATTTGGCTAAGTTTATGCAGCTAGTAAGAGGAGGAGCCTGGGTTCAAATATAGACAGTCTCATCCACACTCTTTGCTCCTAACCACTTCACTATGTGACCTCATTCTAAACCTCACTATATCTAGAGCATAATATATTATTTAACTAATCATATTAGTACCCACAGTGTTGGCTTAAACACAAGCATTCTCTAGAAGACTGAATCAAGAAGATTAAATAGCTTGCTTCCCTCTTATTCCCA